TTCACGCCACCAGGAATCTCAAAACCATTAGACGTTATAATGATACTCTGCACATGTTAGATACAAGAAGAGGCCAAAAAGCAAGCGTCCGACACACAAAACCCGTAAAATCCACTTGCAGTCACAATCAACGATTCTACGAATCGTAAGCGCTCACGAATCATAAAACCGCTGACTGCGACACTCTGAAAGCGAAATTGACAGGCTCTATGCGTCAAACACCCGCCCTCCAATCTTCTCCAGCATCCAACAGCACAAATCTCCATTACAACATCTAACGAATTCAAAACTCCGAAAATCACTCATCTATAGCAAGTGAGTGGAAGCCTGCCTACCTTTCTATTAGGCCTGTGGACATGCGTTAGCTTCGAAACTTCTAACCAAACTGGGTAAATTTTCAGATCACAAAAAAAAAACTTGAAAAAAACTTTCATAGGTAATTACAAGTAAAATAAATATTGATTATTTTACGCAAAAACGAGCAAGTAATATTAAATCTTTTGTATCGTATACTAATGCCAATTGGCTGTAACAAAAATAATATGCTAAAATAAAATAAAATTTTAATAAAATGATATGCAAAATTTACTAGAAGATCATTACTTTATTGGTGAGAAGTTTCTAATAAGCCCTCCCAGTTCCTCTGTATACAGAACAAATCTGATACTATAATCAGAATTTCTCAGTCTGCATGAAGCAGCCGATTTCATCAAGGAAGTTCTATTAACAACCAAGAATTAATCGTTTGAGGTATACTGAAGCATTAAGAAGGTGATATGTGTCACTATAGGAAATCATCATCGTTGCAAATGTAAAGAAATTAAACATAACCCTTTGCTTCAGTACCGTCAACCTCCATGTCCATGGGGAGGGAAATGGAAAATGTTATTCATATTCAACAAATATGCAACCGATATGATTGAGTCTTTACAGCATACATCAAGTCACCAATCACGTTTTGAGATAAGGTTGATATATAAATGATATAAAGTTCGGAAGCCCTTACATCTCTTAATGGGCTATTAGCGCGCTTCTAGGTTACTTGTGATGGGAGTTAATTGGTTCTAAGCATAATATTTAAAGCAGAGAACTACTTCGGCCCACGCGCCTATTTTGTGGCTATCGAGCAGAAAACATCAAATAAACCAATGAGTCAATTATGCGTTTGATACGATACTATTTTCAAAAGCTACCGAACCAAGTCAATAAGAACGCGTGATATGAATGTGACCGAGCCCATTTTTATCATACGATAAGCCGAAGTGAAATCAACGGAGTTTCAATGCATTAGGCCTTATTAAGAATCCGTAGGTCGAGTTTGGGTCAAGAAGCAGTGTTATATTTTTAACGATATTTCAACAATCTGTTAAATTTGATCAAATCTTACGGTATGAACGGAAAGGTAGATAAATGTAGAAGTCATATTAAGTGAAAACAATCCATTCTGTGAAAAAAAATCGCTCGAAAAATAGAAGAAAACGGTGGGTTGTGCTTAGTAGGCCCAACATTCGATTTAAGCCCTATAAGCACAGACAAACAGACGTAACTCTTCATTCTGGATCATCGTTTGTGCATTTAACGATTGGGTTGAATGTTATCGTTTCCACGAACTACTCGCCGCAGCGCTGGCATCGGATCACTTTGACGTTTCTATATATTCGGATTTTCTTGCATGCAATATTGTTTGCGAATCAGCGAGCAAGCTTGTTTTCCGCGAGAATTGTCGAGTAACGAGATGTCGTTACTGCAGTCCTATGTTTGGCGGTGCTATGGTTTGAAGATAATTTTATTCAAAGAGTTACGTCTGTTTGTCTGTGCTAAAAGGATTCACGGTCCTGGTGGTGGAAGTTCGAAAAAATAGTGTAAATTTCTGTTCAATATGATGCATATAAATGGAGTGCCACATATCATATAAGTTTACATTATAAATCATGTAAAGTTCTGAGACATTTCATGCAATGTTGCAAATATTGTGTACAGAAGACATTGCTTATAAGTTGCTCGTTTGCGTGAAGTGAAATACATGTTTACGTGATTGAATGTTTACAGTTGACAGCCATACACTGATTGCGAAAGACGTGTTACTCTTGTTCTTCCATGGATACTGTAAGTTAAGCAAAGTTTGAGATCAAATTGAAATCTAAATTTGATGTTGTGATTTCGCTGATAATGATTACTCAGGTTGATGTCGTTTTGGTCGTTTTAACGGTTGAAATATCACATTTGAGAGCAAACAAATCTTCCTGTGACATCACACTGAAAACTATTTCTGCTATCAGTGAGAGCAAACTAAAAACTTAATTTGATATCCATTTTTCCTGTTGATAGCAACACAAGTATTCAATTTGATGTTATGCTAAGGCCATGAAAACAAACCCGCAACAACATATTTCTGAAGAGCAAATGTACAGCAAAATGAAAACAAAATTAGGTATCAACGGCATAATGTCCCTTATACCGTTCTAGAAATGTTCGTTCAAACATAGTTTTCGTGTAGATTTCATAGATTGAGAGATACAAATCAGAAAAGAGGCCGTTATAGTTAAAATTCACAAGACAACAGAGTCAACAAAAGTTTCAATTAGATTGACATAACATAGTTGCACGACCGATGACTGTTTCATTGATAGATGATTTTTTTAGAAGTATGAATCCTCAGTAAACGTGTTTTTTTTTTTTATCAAAGGCAAGTGTCACTCGAGCCATCCAAAATGTTGGTTATTTTATAAATTGCTGTGCAAGAATAACCTTGGTTCACGCTCAAGAATCACCTAAGTATTCTTCTCTGTTATGTCTTAGAAATCACCTCAAAACAGTTTTGCAGTGTCGCTAGAATTATTTATTATATTAATTACTTTCCTTCAACATTTCCTAGTTACACTAGGCAGGTTTTGAAATTCTCTCAGAAATTTATTTGAAGTTTTCCTATTAAAATTAGCTTAAAATGATCCTCAAAATATCTTTGGAATTTTTTTCAGAATGTCTTCGAAACATTCGCCAGAATTCCCATTGAGTTCTTAGCAGGTTTTTCTGCTCCTAAAAATTCTTTGTATTTCGTATGAGCGATTATTTAGAACTCCCTTCAGTTACTTCACAGAATCCTTCGGAGCCTTGTTGCAATGGAACTCAAAATTAACGTTAGTTTCTCCATAGACTTTACAAGGGGTTCTACTCAAAATTCCTTAAAAATGATGTTCAGAATTACCATAGAATATTTATAATAAGACATTGATTGGAATTATCACTGAATTTCCATCTTCAGGATCTAAAAATATATGAATATAATATTAACAAAATAACCCAAAATTCAAAATAAATAAAAAATTTTAGCACAAGATTATTGAAATCTATCAAAATCGAAATCTTAAATATCTTTCATGGTCTGTAATCTTCAAAGAACCTGAGTCCGATATTTAGAATTTTTTCCTGGGTCTGGATGGAAAAAGTTCAAGTACAGTTTTATTACTACAACTCAAAATTCTATTTTTATTTTCTCAAGAATGCTTGTCTTTTAGGATTTTACTTGCAAGTTTAGTATATTCTGAGATTGGGAAAATTAGTTGCCATCTTCGAGCTTATCCTCAATTTATACTGTAGTTGGAACAACAGAAAAATTTAAACGCTCTTACATACCTCATAGCGGCTACGTTCATTTTCTTTAAAGCATATAATTCGAGTAGAGTTTAGGTAAATAAAATTAAAGTAAAATTTCTACAATTACTCGAGTAGCCTCTTTTTATGATATCGAAAGTTATGGCGCTTTTTCACCAAGAAAACATTTTAAGGCGAAATGCTGTAGAAAATTTATTTCTGATTGATGTGTTGATCATTTCCAAACACTAAAAGCGCAATATCGGAAATAAAATTGATATTTCAAGATTGCTGTAGTGAAGCAAACATAGGGTAGAAATGTCATGAACAATTTCATAATATTGTCTGAGATTTGTTCTATAGGAAATAAGAAGTGGTACTGGAAGTCAGCCATCAAGTCCTTAATCATTCAAGTTACCGTTTATGCTTTTTTTTATTAGTTGAGAGGGTAAATTAATAGCAGTGATATTTACAAAACAAGTTGTTTGAAAAATCTGGGAATACCTGGAACATATTTAAAATATCTGGAAATTAGCGTACTCCGTCTGTGCATCTGGCAAAATACAATCTGGAATGCTGGCAACGCTGCATGTCACTGAAAGATGGGTTTATATGACTATTACATTAATAAATGCGAAATAGTTCTACAAAAACCAGCATGAAATACATTGGTCAGCGCCATTTCTATCATGTTTCGTAAGAATCTTGAGACCTGTAGCTGAATTCCGGGCATAAATTTACCCGTAGAGAAAGAAATTTCAACATATACCAAATATGTAGAAATTTCTTTCTCTTCGAAGAAATTTTTGCCCGTAATTCAGCTGCTTGTATTATATTACATGTATTATTGTTCTCGGTATTCATATGACAGTCAAAGTTCTTCACATTCATCACATAGATCTGAATTCCTCGTGACTCCCAGGCGAATCATCAGCATAAACATTTTCAAGTACCTACATCCACGAACATACTCAAAGACACTATTAGAGAAGTCCGAGAAAGATAAACAAAACATTTGGAGAAGTACACGAAACGTGCATTACGCTGGAAATAATGTCAATGTAAATAATTGTTTATCGAGTTTGAAATGTACCGATAGATGGATGTACACCGCGCCACCACTTGGCCGAAGATAGCTTAGACTTAGGAGGCCCAAAAGACCGTTGAACTGTTCCTAACCTCACCCCCTTCCCATAAGCTATTTATTGCATTGCATTGTCGAAAGGATCCGACCGACGGATGGATCTGTGCCGAGAAGAAATGTTTCTATCTATCTTGCGTCGACTCTGGAATCTGGGTGCTGGGTACTTATACCTCTATATAGGTACATGTATGCTTATCTGTTTCCCCATATAGACAACACGTTAGAGATAGTTGGGAAAATTTAAATACCATTAATTAACACAAACCTTTTCGGAGTTGTCGGTGTTGCCTAATGAATTTTTCCCCCTTTCCGCTTCTCCTTTGTGCCGAGCCGAACGTCTGATGGTTGCTGCTTTGCGCGTAGAGTGTTACAGGTCCACAGTTTGTTACTGGCCGCAGGTCGGAACTTTTAATCTGAATAGATTTTTCTTTTTCAATGTTTAGAAATTGTCGGAAAAATATACACTGCACTTGGACTCAAATAGATACACAAACACTCGGCGGAGTCGTTTCTACTTTCACATTACTGTTGCATTGCACACTAAGTTGGGCTGGAAACTCGTTTCTCTGTTTTCATGGATAGATGTAGTCTTTGCTCACGATCACTATAGGTGAAATATACAATGACAGAATGCGTTCCAGATATTGCTTCATGTTGGCAGATTTTCACTATCCTCGATTGGATTGCCAAATGAGTGATGTATGGCAGACTACCGTGGTTGGAAGGTTTTATTAAAATTATATTTATTTATATTAAAATATATAGTTATATATATACTCAATTTTCCCAGACTAACTAAAACTCTTAAAGATCCAGGACTAATCTTTCAAAATGTGTACCATGTTCAAATTATAGATGATCCCATGTAACAATTCAAGCTATATATAGGTGTTATAGCATTCTACAAGCCTAAATCATGGTCTACGGAATTCTCATAAAAGTAAAACAGAACCATAAAACGTAATACTTGGGATATTACGCAATATAGTCTGCCTTGCAACGAGCACTTATGAGACTAATTTTCTCTGCAAATCAGATATATGACACAGACACAATTCACGCACTGCTACACCAAGTGATCAAAAGTTCAAATTGAATATAGTGGCTCAAGCATTAAAGAATGTTATAAAGTTGGAATCGATTTACAAGAATAACACTTATTTTAATTAAAAATGCATTGAAAAATATTAGGACATTCCATCAATGCATCCTGAACATGTGAAATTCTCTCCACACTTTTATTATGAACATGCGAAGCCGCATTTTTTTCATGTATTTGTAGGTTTTGTTATACATGGAAAAGAAACTTATTTAATTACTGTTTCATGTACTAGTTGCATTAATTGTACAAATTAGCTAACCTTAATTTAAAGCAATTAAAAAACAGTCGTATTATAATGGTCTCGTTATTACTTTTTCTGTGATTGTGAGATTATTACATTTTTTAGGAAAGTTATATTGCAGATGCTTATAGTACTCTATAAGACCTTTCTTGGCATATGTTGGTTTCCTTAATTAGACCAATCTTCAAAAAGATGCAATGGATACAAAATTATCGTATCGCGTTACGAAACTTCAATGATGATCAAAAAATCTCATACTTAAATAGGAAAATGCATATTTTTCACAGTCTTCTTATAAAGCAATCAATAAAGGAGCATTTTTGAATTACATCACGTTTGAAGAAAAGGGCGAGAATGTGAGAATTAATTTTATAAATACGGGATAAGTGATATTTCTCAAGTAGTAAAACAACATCAAGTCATTTTTATACTGGAAGGATATAGGTACCAAGCAAAACAATCCGCGTTATTTCAAAACGTATCGTAAAAAACCACGTTATTTTAAAAATCGTTGTAAAAAACAGCGTTACTATAAAAATCGTCGTAAAATATGTTTTTTTTTTTCAGAAATCTTCGTAACGAAAATTTCAACTCTATTGGTCACCAAGGTATTGACTTCATGAATCAACTTTACCGAAGATAGTAAGCTTCGATATGGCTCGCTAAAGATGTTCGCTCAAGTGCTGACATTTGTTTTTTTTTACGTATGACTACGTCTGTGATTTCTATATGGGGGTACACTTTGTGAAAACCGAAAATGGAACATTTAACAAAATATGAAAGATTTTGAACTTTAATAACTCAGCTACCCCTGGACCCATTTCAATCATTTTATCACCAATTGATCAGATATATTCCTACACATCTGTTAAATTTAACACTTTATCATTTTTTTAAATGTCATTATTGAAAATTGCACGAATGTGCAACTGTTGCTTTGGTGATTAAAATTATCACTGATAGCCTGCGAAAAGCAAATTCCCTAACACAGATTTCAAAGATGGATTCCATCCGGTCTCACCAAACGGTGTTTATTCAATCACCGCCGTGTGAGTGGTGGTGTTCTCCAGTACACAACGAAAGGCTACCTACAAGCAGCGGGCTGCAGCCCGCATGAGCATCCATTTAAGGAAGCACCGCTATTGATCGGAATCAGTAGATCTTCGTGAGTTTCTGTTTGCCATCTATGTCAAGCGCGTCATGCTAAAGATTTTAAACAGAGAGAACCCCGCGCAAATTCCTATTCCTACACAAATCACAACTCCTGCTGCAGTTGACAAATAAGATTTATTATATAAGACCCCGTAGTCCTGCGTCACCATTGCGTAGAACCCCATAGGGCTGTCCCTTGTAGTTTTTTTGACTAAGTCCTTTCCCTTAGAAAAAAAAACACTTAGATTTGGCTCTTCAACCGCATTATTTGAAAATTCGTCGTAGAAAAACCGTGTAAAAAAGACTACAGTACAGTGGCGTCCCGTAACCTCACTTTTTATCTGTGCGCCAACTTTCAAAACCAGATTTAATGCTATATTCATGCTCGAATCGGTTGAAAAATACACTTAATCTTCTTTTCCTTTATTTAACGTCGGTCTCTGTTCCGCAATCTGGTGCCAATCACCGACGGACATCGATTGCCATCCATTGACGGCAATCGAATGTGCAGGAAGGCAGCTTTCACACCTGCGTAGGATATCGCACCCATTTAACACACATACACATGGGCCGGGACCAACGGCTTTACTTCCCTTCCGAAGGAAGACGTGACCAGAGATTTTTATGCCTCAGAAAAATCCCACCGACCTCGGCTGGGATTGAACCCAGACCCATCGGGGTGTTAGAAAGCAGTCACGCTTACCACTACACCACCGGCGCCGGCACTTAATCTTCTAGTTTACTCGATATCTATCCATTGCAAGCAATATTTTAATAATTGTTTATGTTTTGAGACACCGTTTGGAAAATTCATGAAAATTTCTGCAAGATCGCACATAAAATTAACGCTTAATTTGGCGTAAATTTACATGATATTTCGTGTAACTTTAAGCGCAAAAACGATTTAATTAGCGATATTGTATGTAAGCTTATAAACGTTATTTATGCCAACTGTAGCTCAAAATTAAACGAGGGGAGATTTTACGCGATAATTAAAATTCAGTTTTTTTTCTGTGGAGTTGGTGCACAGGTAGATTGAGACTCGGGAAAACCACTGCTTCAGTGTAATGATAAAAATTCTTTGCAACCTCCTATGAAAAGCGGTTTTGTGATGGTCTCGGCGGGAAACTTCGACAACCCTACTTCCCTGGATAAACTATGCTTCTTCTTCTTCTTCTAGGCTGTTTACGCTGCTGTAGCGAGCGTTTTGTCGGCTCTCAACTTAGGGTTCTAGATGCACTACCACAGTTATTGGTTGAGAACTTCCGATGCCAACACCAATGCATGAATTTGTATATTTTGTGGCAAGCACAATGATACATGCAGTGGGAAGTCGAGAACTCGGTATACCCGAGCAAAGTAAAATATCAAATTGATAACAAGTTCTATTACCCGGTTATCACTTTTTGATAACTGAATATGTTATCATTATGGTTGAATTAACAGCCAACATAACAAAAATGGTAACAAAAAATTGCTCGTTGGATTTCACAAAAATAACTAATTTTGTTATCATTGATAATATCTTGATAATAAATTCTGTAAGCCATACAAATTTATTCCATACATTTCAAATCATGTTATAATTTTGATATCAATGCCTTACGCTGATAACTGAAATATGATTAGGGATTAAAAGCACTATTTTTTATTGTTTCAATGCGAATAATATTTAAAGTTTTGAACTAACCTTTCATCGTTAATAAATATATAGTGAATTTTTCATGATAACAACTGATAACAAAATTGATCAAGGCTGATAACTAAATAAGTTATGCGATAACAACTGAAAACAAAATGATATCTGGGATAACAAGACTTGTTATCTAGATGATATCGGGTTGTTATTCTACTTTGCTCGGGTAACCCGAGCAACGTTATTCTACTTTAAGTAGAATAACAACCCGATATCATCTAGATAACAAGTCTTGTTATCCCAGATATCATTTTGTTTTCAGTTGTTATCGCATAACTTATTTAGTTATCAGCCTTGATCAATTTTGTTATCAGTTGTTATTATGAAAAATTCACTATATATTTATTAACGATGAAAGGTTAGTTCAAAACTTTAAATATTATTCGCATTGAAACAATAAAAAATAGTGCTTTTAATCCCTAATCATATTTCAGTTATCAGCGTAAGGCATTGATGTCAAAATTATAACATGATTTGAAATGTATGGAATAAATTTGTATGGCTTACAGAATTTATTATCAAGATATTATCAATGATAACAAAATTAGTTATTTTTGTGAAATCCAACGAGCAATTTTTTGTTACCATTTTTGTTATGTTGGCTGTTAATTCAACCATAATAATAATATTCAGTTATCAAAAAGTGATAACCGGGTAATAGAACTTGTTATCAATTTGATATTTTACTTTGCTCGGGAATGTATTCCCTCCATTTATGCTATTTCTCTGTTGTCCTTCAACCAATTCAGCTAATTACATTTAAAACATCAGCGTACTACCCACCGCAAAAATGGAGAGATTACATTTTGGCTGTATATTATCAGCTATTTGTTGGCTCATAAGCCTAATATTAGCTCTATATGCCTAAAGGGCTTATGGATCATTCTTATGATTGTATACGTATTTGTAGGAATACTTTCCAGTAAAAAATGAGTAGTCCAGCCAAATTAGCGGAAAAGAAATTGAATTGAGTATCTCCAATAAGAATGGATCTAACTTTGTATGAAACACATTTTTGCTGCATTTAAAAAAAAATGGCGCCTTGAGATAAATGACGATTGAGATCAATACAAATGTCTTTCTTAGAAAAAAAAAATAGATTTCCTTATTAAGGAGGCTTTCAGCCTACGGCTCGTTCGACTCCATTTCAGGGAAGATGCCAGAATCATACATAAAGCAAAAGTCACATAAAATAAAATAAGGATTCAATTACAAGTGGTCGAGTTGAGCACCCAGAACCACATCGGCCACACCCAGACGTGTTACGGGTAGTCACTGAGAAGTTGCTAGAATCTGATACAGACCAAACCGAATCACATGAGAATTCAGTTATATGATTATTGGCAGTCATAAAACATTTGTTAAATTTTCTAGGTAGCTTGCAAACTAACCCTTTAATCCGAATTGAGCCAATTCTAATCACATTGTTCAAAAGTCTAACATCATTGAGAAATAATCTTGAAAGCGTCTTCTGTATGATTTTTCACCCGGACGACAAAAATTAAAATTAACAGTCTTTACCCGAGCAGAGAATGAAAACAAAATGAAAACTATATATGTCCATGTATGCGTTTCGATATTAGTAATTTCTTTTATAATAAACAAAATAAGTAATAAATATGTTATTATAACTATGGTAGGATATATCATGACATAAAATTCAGTAATCTGAATGTTTTGAAATCTATTGGTTGATATTAAGATTCAAAATCAAAAAATGATATCAATAAGTTTTCATCTATTCAAAATATAAACAAACCTATATTTCAATCAGTTCTATCGATATCTATTAGTTATATCGATTTGTAAATTCAATTTTCATTAATATCAATAAATGTTGTAAAATATAACTGTAAAAATCATAATTGTCTTTGTGATGTTCATTAAGAAAACAGCAAGCATCCTGATTAACTCGTAAGAAAAATAATAGATTTAAGTGATACATGTGGATGCTCTTTTTATAAAATATCAAATTTTGATTTTAATGATATTTTTTAGAAAAAAACAAAATAATATCAAAATATGTATTAAACCGAAATTTAAAAATAGAAAATCAAAATATGTTATCAACATGATTTCAAAAACATAATTTGACACCATTTCGATAGTATTTTGATATCCGATTTTGCTCGGGTAGACCTTTTCAACATTTTTTTTTGGGAAAACAAGTATACAAATACACCAAATTAGTGCTACAGTAATGACCCGATTTTGTCAGCCCCCCTTTTGAAAATATTTTCTAATGTTCTACGAAACCCATTCGCTTTTTTATTGGTCTTATTGCACCAAAGTATACCTTAAACATGCACCTTGAAGATTAATGAGAAAGATTTGGACTTACGGTTATGTGAACTTATTGAAAGATAAAAGTCTGATGCGAGGAGGGGCTGACAAAATCGGAGTATTACTGTATTTGGAACTCTGACAGGGTGCTTTCAACGACTGGTCAAGTTGGTGTGTAATTCATCTTGGATATATTGTACAACATCAATCTGCTTCTTTTCAGCAACGTCTAAAATAGAACGTGTGATTTTGATAGTCTCTGTGTCTGAGGATGATTGTTTTGCTGCATAATGTGATATCATGAAAAATACATGACGAATAATACGAAAAAATACGATAACTGTTTTCTGTGTAGAGTTCTATTTCACTATCACTGAAAAAGGGCAATCTTTTGCAATAAAACACTTGGGATCATGTCCTTATCATAAAAATTAGGCGCATTTTTTTTTATTTGTGCTGTTGTTTTACTAAGAAAAGAAAATTTAAGTATGTTATACAATTTGATATAAACAAAAAAAAATAGTAAAAAATTCTTTTAAGCATTTTACCATCCAACACCGAGTGCTAAATATGAGGACATAACTGCAGCTTTCTTCTAAAAAAAAAACTACAAGGGACAGCCCTATGGGGTTGTACGCAATGGTGACGTAGGACTACGTGGTCTTATATAATAAATCAGAACTCATCTGACAAATCAAACGGCCCTTTTCAGGGTCACAAATATTTTCTGGCATAAGAGTTAATTTGAATTTCTATCTTCTCAATGTAAGTCTTCAATGCATTACGTGTAAATATGTACATCATTGACAAATCTCAGGTCTCAGGTATCTAAACGTCATATCTTTGAAAACAACGCGAATGAAGAAAAGAGACCTACTGCGTCAGAATCTATAATGATTACCTGAGTTTTGTCAAAAAAACGAAAATATTTATGCTGTATGCTGCAAAGAGTAGGCAGTCCTGCAGTTTTGTGTCAACCATATGATATGATCACCATAAATACTTCTTTTTACGGCTACTGCTGGACACGGGTTGACCCGGTGGTTGGAAAGGCAGCGAACTTTGCTACGAGAAATGGGCACTCAGAGAGTCGGTCCAGTTGCTTCAGGATTAGAAGCTTGATGGTTCAATTTTGCTGGTTCCAGGAATTTCATTCATGCCAAGTTTAGTAGAACTCCTAAACCATCTCTTTTGAAATTAGTTATTGGCCCTGAAAAGGGCCGTTTCAGTTAGGGAAAATGAACGAATATTAACCTCGTCCCTGACGCTTCAGAGCGTACACTACGTACATTGCGGTACACGGTACACGGTCTTCCGCTTTGCGTCTTCAGAGTAGGTAACAGCGTCACGAATGACGTTTTCCAGCACACCTTCAGCACACCTCGGGTTTCCTCGTAGATCAGGCCGGAGATACGCATTATCACGACGAGCCTGACGACGGTCTGGGAAATACCCTGTAAGTTATCATGCAACACCTTACGATGCTGGGACGGGTCTGGTATTGAACCCCGACCTTCTGCTCAGTAAGCAGAAACGGTAACCACTGAGCTACCGAGCCTCGTCGTAATGCTACATCGACATGTTTCGCCTAGAAATGATTATCTGATGACTGTGTTGGGAAAGCAGCATAAGCATGTACGTAATTGGTTGATTTATTAGTTAATTCGACGTTTTTGGACAATGCTGGACATTTACCACTTTTTCAATAGTTTTTTGTTGAAAATCAACAGTCGAAAGCATTGCTCATTGATCGATTGGTGATAAAATTATTGAAATTGGACCAGGGGCAGCTGAGCTATTAACGTTGAAAATCTTTCACAATTTTGTTTCATGTTCCATTTTCGGTTTTCACAAAGTGTACCCCCATATAGAAAACACAGACGTAGTCCTACGTCAAAATAAAATAAAAAATCGAAGAGGTCTTTGAGAAAATTAGCAATTACATTTTTAAACGTAGTTTAGCAGTGATTTAGCTGTCAGTGTATATTTTTTACTTAAACATCATTCTATTACCTAAAACATTTTCTCTGGCGTCATTTTGATTAATTAGACCGTTTTGAAGTTAAGATTTTTTTTATGAAGAAATAAAACCCTTTTTTACATACGCCCTTACAATAAATTAGTCCGGATAAATTTACAATGTTTTAATGGAAAATACCACAAATCTTGACCTGAATTGATTTGTGTTTGAACTAATCCAAAAAGTGCCTTCCGTGGAACTGTTCACATAAGTATTGCCTACAATTTGATGATTTCAAAAATTTATCATGGTCTACCATGAAAAAATGCAGTACCTAACTTTTGCCCCTGAAGAGATACAAAGATTGATTACTGGGCAAAGATAATGAACTACTCACAATATGAAACTTTGTTGAAAGTAAGAAATTTCTAACTCTAAGTTTTGAGATATGGACCGTTTTCATTGGTTACCCCTTTAACATTAGTTTTTAATTATTAACTTTTGATATAATAATGTTTCATGCAAATAATGTTCTAAACAAATGTAAACCAAAGTAAAACTACATGTTTTTGCTGAAGACAGTATGTGGCCAATGCTGAGATTTGTCATTGTCATTGAAATACTTCACGCGATATTCACAAAATAGTTTTTGACATCGTCGCTGGAAGAAATGATTCTCAAAGAAACCTTCATCAAAATCTCATTGAGACAAAGATTCACCTGGTAGCAAAAAGTGTAATTTCGAACATTCTGGGTCACATTATTGTTATCCAGGAAGTTAAGGACATGCTTGTTTACTTTAACGGCTCCATAAAATTGATTTTCATAATTCATTTTATTTTATTTAAATTTAGCTAATAACAAAAACTGCACATGTTCGTCACTGAAAGAATTGTCACTGACAATTGACATGAATTCTCTTGAAGATGACTTTCAGCTCGAAGGAGCGACCAAAGCTGTTTTGTAAATATCGCCGTCTATGGCGAGAATTTGCAGCACTTTATGTGGCTATGTGCATGCCACATCATGCATGCATCCATGCTAAGTTATAGATCTTTTAAACTTTAACCTACTATTGTGTATTATTGTGTTTCAATAAGGTAGAGCACACCCTATATCTATCTTTAATTGTATTACTTCAGTATACAACAGTGATGATCTGCCTATATATACCACTTTAAACTCCGAACTATCAACAATCAATATAAAACTAACGATTTTAAATTTGCTCCCTACTTGACTAGCCTATTAGTTCCAAGCAAATCGACAAACGTACCCCATTCTAGTATAAATTCCAGTACTACACTATGTTTGTTTTGATTCGCTATGAAAGTTTGACAGATAAAATGAGGGGTTAGTGGATTTTCCTATGGTTCGAGGGGTGGGACCGAAGATAGTACCAGAGCTGAGCCAAAAAGTTGAGCTCGTTTCTTCGGGACCTTCTGGTCTTAGAGTTACCTCTATGGAACTATTCCCCGTTGAATTTTCTGCTTTAGATTCAGCTTGTTTAATATAATCTGATTGCGTACAATTTCAATTCCTATCGCAATCAACGAGAGATTGAGCATCACTGAGCAAATACATAATTTATGGAATGCTTGAAAGCATTTCCCAACCACTTTCCTTTGCGTAATATATATCAAATAAAAAAAAAAAAACAAAATATACCTAGAAATATCGAAACTTGATAGGGATCCAAACCAGCTACATTCAGCAACCGATCTGTGTCTCCAATTTCACTCTTCACGTTGATACCATCAAGAGGAGATTTGCAGACGGAAACTTCCGTCGAATATTTATTTGCAATCGTACGCCACCGACCGGTGATATGGTCCAGGATATTTTTCCAATCAATCAGCTCTCCGATGAAATAGAATCACGACTGCACCACACCGTTCTGCATTCTGTTTATTTACACGATCGGCACTTGAACTGATTTTGATGAATCGCACAATTTGGCATATTGATATCTTGCTTCCAACCGCAAACGCGAAGAAGTCTGCCTAACATCTTTCTCTCTTTGGGCTACCAATCTTCGTTTCTTCTTCGCCCGGCACTGAGCCGGTTTCGTCTATTTCTTTTCCTCGCGAATATATATATTTTTGTTATTTTGTTTTTAATCGAATTCTGCACATTGCGCTACGGGTTGCGATGCCCACTTTACTCGTATGGTTCTTTCAGCAGATCGTTAAATTAAGCGATAATCAGTGTGCTGGGCACTCAAGAGGTTCACTCCCCAGTTATGTGCAGACAGCCACTCTCCGGGGATATCACGGCTTGAACAGAAGGGCTTAGCCAGTAAACTTGTTTGCTTTTCTTCTCAGCTTTAACATTCACAGTTTCACTTAACCTTTGATCGCTTGTGTTACCATTTCACTTGTATGCTCACTGTAGGAAATTATGATTATCTTTCAATCTTTAGCGGGCTTCAAACCGTGTCAACTTGCATTAAGTTATCAATCAATTGATGCTACACGCGAAGATCTTCAATTGGAAAAAATAAAACAAGAGATTTCAACACCAACACCAGAGGATCTCTTATTTATCCCAGAGCTGCAACCGCTCTCGAAGCCGAAAGTGCGCCCAAACCGTTCGGAAGTCAGGAATGAACTGATTCGCTAATAGTGACGCTCTCCAGTGCAAGTTCTTTTTTCCTTTCCGTTCCACTGATGGGGGTTGGCATGGACTGAACATTATTCTCCCGCCACGCAGTAGATGCCTATAAGGAGATCCCTACACACAGCGACCAGCGAGGCAGCATGAAACATGGAATAATTGGCGGGTGGCAATGATGGAGGAGAGAATCAATCGAGATAGCGGCGCTCAAAGGAATGGCAGCAAGCCATGAGAAGGATGTTGTACTGAGAGAGAGAGAGAGAGAACTGGATCGTGCTCAGCTCACTGACTGCGACTGGTAAGGTGCTGCTGGTCTAAGCGGTTCAGTGCATGTTGTCAATTCTTTCCACCACGAAGTGCATTGAGAGGCCGAGAGAGAGAAGAGAACGCCTTTCATTGGCTAACTTTGGAGAGAAGTGATCATAACAATTCTACCACCTTCCCACTGTTTGTGGTTCAGGAGGTTGGAGCACATGCCGCTTGCGATGGAGTGTGGGTGGTGAATGGTAAGGATCAATCAACCGTTGATGATACGAGCTGTTCATGCAGCAGTAGACATTTATTAATATTCGATCAAATCGAAAATAACAGATCAAGCATATCATATAGGATTGAGCCAATCACGATACATATCTTTGTCTGAGTCGTTGTTTTATTATTTTTGGCATTAAAATAATAAACATGAGGGGGATATAAAGAAAGGGATACGCTATGTTAAAAGTGTCTTTAATAAAAAGTCAATGTACCTAAAATGTTATTCCGTTGGACCATAGTTTGGGATCTCTAGTTTCAAAATCTGTGTGATTTAAAATATTTACTCAGAGAAAATTTAATTTTTCCATTGTTTTAATTTTAAAAACTATTCTGCTATTAGTGAGAGCAAACTGAAAACTCAATTTGATACATTTTTTTCCTGTTGATAACAAAACAAGTAAGGCAATGAAAACAAACCCACAACAACATATTTTTGAAGAGCAAAAATATTTTTTTTCAATTGCATAAACTGAAATCAAATTAGGATTTCAGTTTGATCAAAACTTGATTTCAATTTGCTGTCATTTTAATGCTGTATTTTGCTCGGGTAGAGAGTTCCGTTAGAGTACGGCAGTGTGAAAAATTGAATAGAAGTTGAAAATGAGCGAAGAGCCATTAATTCAGTACAAAGTCATGTAATGACTTTGACTATGAATGTCCTAAAGACCATTCTTTAGCTAATGAATTATCACACTAAAGCTTCATGTTAAATAGCATTTCCAACCAATTCTGAAAATCACAAACTTCGCGTATGAAGTAACATAAAAACACTTTGAATGTAACAAAGATGAGAGTTTGACTAAAAAAATTGAAAAAATATAAATTTATTTTTTGGGCTTTTAAATTCAGATGCAAGGTCTTAGGTGTGTCTAACTGTTCTTTTTGCCATTGTTGTTATCATGGCTACACAATTGCAGTTTTTTTCAAGTTTTGTATCATCATAGTATATTTTAGGCGTATATTTCAATTCAAAATTTAAAAAAAATTATAATGCTTTGTTACGAGTGTAGTGGGTTAACTACCCTATTTCCAGCCTACTAAGCACTACCCGCACTTAGTCGTTCTTAATGTAGCGTTTTCTAGCAGCAAACGGAATGTTATTGTTACTGATGGCTTCCAAATTTATTTACCTTTCCATACGTACCATAAGATTTGATAAAGAGAAACCAATCGTTGAGATATTGTCAAAAGTCTAACACTGCTTCTTGACGCCAAACTCGGCCTACAGATTCTAAACTCGGCCTAATGCATTGCAACGCCATTGAAACACCAATAAATTCACTTCGGCCTATCGGATGAAGATAAAAATTGATTCGGTCGGAGCGCTTCTTTTGTTTTTGGGAATAATGGGTGCGAACCTTCATATCACGCGTTCTCATTGACTTCGTTCCGTAGCTTATTAACTAAAGTATCGTACCAAACGCATAATTGACTTGTTAACTCTGAAATCAAGGATTTATTTGAAGTTTTCTGCTCGATAGGCCCAAAATAGGCGATTAGGCCGAAGTAGTTCTCAACCCTAAGTGTGAGTTCTGTGTTTTAAAAAAGCAAAACAGCCGATACCCATTCATCAAACCCAGAAGTCAGCAACTTTTTAGTTTAACCAGATTACAGTAAAAATGATCAGATTTATCCTAGCGTTTTTCCTGTTTTCCATTAATCCATAGCTCAGCATTTCTTCTTATTGAACCAATTGTGCGTGAAACTCCCTTGCTAATTCCCAAGTCAGATTTTCTTGATGTGCAATATGCACATGGATACGTACTATTATTTGTTATAACGCCAGCCAAAATGTTTATAATTTTGAGATCAATTGCAATAAGGTTAGATTACGATAATGTGCTTATACATTTAAATGCATTGTATCATACAGGTAACAACGGCTTCCAGGGATTGAAGCTGAAGATTTGTCCAGATATTCGAAACGATATAGTAATTTTTTAGTTAATTCACCAGAACTTTCATCCATATTTAAACGTATTTTGAATGATCTTTGGCTTCCATCTATGCCGATTTTAATTTGAAGGACACACCTTCAAAATAGAAAGCTATTAAATTCAAATGATTAACAGACAATTATCATACAATTACCCTTCGAACACGGTAATATCACAACTTCTACAAAGTATTTTAGGATAACTCAGACTATTTTTCCTTGTAATTTGGTTAAAATGTTGCTGACTACAGGGTTTGATGAATAGGTTTCGACGCGCACTTTTCTATTCTCCTCGTGCCTAGGCATTATGATTTTTAATTTTCAACTGAAACATACGCCTACTTTGATGATACAAAATCTGAAAATTCTTCAATTTTGTAGCCATGGCCATGACAACAGCAATGGCATAAACAACTCAGTTAGGCGCATCTAAAGCTTTGCATCAGAACGTATAAGACAAAAACGACAAAAATTGACAATTTTTGCAAGTTTTTTTTAGTCTAACATTTAGCCATGATCCCGTAGAAAGAAAGAAATTTAATGCGTAGGGGAAATGACGGCTTCGGCATGACAGACTATTTTCGGCAACACAAATTGAAACACTATTTTCACTGGATTTTCTTACGAAAACACTTCGCTGAATGCATGCAAACGATTCTTTATGCTTTCAGCTTCAATTTGACTATACTTTTACCACTGAGAAAAAGCAAACTAGCAAGGTTTTCTTGAAATGCAACACACGCACTACAAATTGCAGCTGATTTCGAGTTGCCGATAATAGACAGCAGATTTACATGCACTTCAAATGGAACGGTTGCCGAAGAAAAACTGGTTGCCGACAATACTCGCTCTCACTAGAGAAGATTGGAGCTTAGTAAAAGCGTTTCAAAACAGTTTTTGACAATTCTTTCGACTGAAATTGTTAGAGCAGCTGGCAGCAAAAGATTGTAAACAAACCAATACTGCATATGTGTGCGTTCCTTAGAGAAAAAGGCTATAGAAAGAAGGACGCTGCTTAGGTTGCCGAGAATACGTAAATTCCCCTAATAGATTTGTAATATCTTGTTCCAATAAATTTAGAAAAATCAAAATATATGTTTACGCTTTGCAAAAAAAAAAACATTAGTAATGGAAATAACATATGACCTATGACATATTTTAAATCACGCAGATTATGATACTCGAGGCCCCAAACTATGATCATACGCAATAAAAGTGTAGGAACATATACTTTTATAAAAGTCGCCTTTAATCATAGCGGGTGGGGTACATAGGCATTCCTTATTTTTCGAAAGTAATAAATTTTATGGATTCCACATCCTTAAAAGTTCGTCTTAGTTTGAAAACAAAAATACCAAAATTCAGAGTCGGTATGTTGATGTTTAGTGGTCTCCCAACGGATCTACAGGATAGGTAGTATATGCAATCATCCGCGCAGTCGCCATAGGTATCGGTGAGCCACTAGTGGTTCACGGTATAACAGATTGGCAAATGTCATTTTACGAAACTCAATTGGTATGAAGCATGAAAAGTTACTACTTGCATAATCAGTAATTTACGGAGGCTTTTTCCACCATTTACTATTTTTAGGTACACTTAAAAAATTCTGAATTTTAACAATCCCGTAATATCTCCCCTCGTTTAATATTAAGCTAAAGTCGTCATAAATAATGAAATTGTTTACAAGGTTGTATGCAACACTGCTGATTTATACGAAATCACGCTTAAATTTACATGAAATATCGTGTAAATTTACGCTATTGCAGAAATTTACATGAAGTAAGTAGTTTCAAAGAACTCAGAAACATAAATTTTCGCAACAATCATGAACCAACAATGTTCCAATATGGAACTTTCTTTATGAAGTCTTATATAATAAGCAGTAGATTTAGCAGCAATAACTTAACATGCTCTCTCGGCGTGGTTATTCGTGCCCTAAAATTATTAGCAATTTATTGACCTTTATTTATATATAATTAGCTGGTTCATCAAAGCTGTGCTAATGTTGCCAAATTAGAGACAAGTTGTCTGGATCCTTAGCATAGACATCTACTGCATGAAGGTTAGACTGGCCACCATTTATATGGGAGATTTTTCTAACATTTTTTTCAACGAGCCAACCCTAAGATTTGTGCCATTAGGTGAGAAAACCACTCTCTGAAAATTTCAGCTCATTCGGATGAAACACGAACTGGTGATTTTGGCTAAAAGTTTACATATTGATTTTTTTTTTCGAAATGTATGGAGACATAAGATCCCTTCACTCTTTCGTGCATAAAATTTAATCAGCAAACCAAGGTTGCAAAGACTCATTTCAGCTAAAATAATGTTTTTCGGAATAATAAAACCAAAAGATGGTATGATGGCATGTTTTACTTGTAACTTACAAGAAGAGGTTACAAAGTATGCATTGGAAACATAAAACTTGTAAATTTTGCTTTCTATGAGTCACAATCAGCGATTTGCTGATCGCTGAGTGAGTGAGTGAGTGAGTGAGTGAGTTTGTGAAAAATCGCTGATTGTGACTCTCA